TAGTTTCTAATTATTTTTAGTCTATCTTTCCATGGCCTTTTATTACACATGATTTTTATTGATCATGATATGAAAAGGATGCATTTAATATTTCTGCCTTTCTGCATTGGATTGTGAGGTTTTTATGCCCTAGTACATGGTCAATTTTTGTGTATGTGCCATGTACTGCACAGAAAAAAGTATATTCCTTTCTATCCCCATTCAGTTTTCTCCAGAGGTCTATCATACCTAACTTTTCTAATGTTCTATTCACCTCCTTAACTTCTTTCTTGTTTATTTTGTGGTTAGATTATCTAGTGCAGAGAGGGGGAGGTTCAGGTCCCCCACTAGTATAGTTTTGCTGTCTATTTCTTCCTGTAACTCCTGAACTTCTCCTGTAAGAATTTGGATGCTATACCATTTGGTGCATATATTTAGTAATGATATTACTTCATTGTCTATGGTGCCTTTTAGCAGGATGTAGTTTCCTTCCTTATCTCTTTTGATTAGATCTATTTTTGCTTTTGCTTTGTCTGAGATCAGGATTGCTACCCCTGCTTTTTTTACTTCAGCTGAAGCATATATATTCTGCTCCAGCCTTTTACCTTTACCCTGTATATGTCATTCTTTTTCAAATGTGTTTCCTGTAAACAGTGTATTGTAGGATTATGATTTTTAATTTTTAATCCGTGAGAGAGTTCATCCCATTCACATTCACAGTTATGATTACTGTCTGGGTCTTTTCTCCATCCTTTCCCCCTTTTTATGCTTTTCTTTCTCCTTTCCCCCCTGTGTTTTGCTTTTGACCACGCCTCCTTCAGTCCCTCCTCCCTTTATTATCCCTTTCCCTTTGCTTCCCCTTTACCCTTACTACTTCTTCCCTCCCTTCTGTCCCCCTCCTTTTTCTTTCCCCTTTTCCCTCCTACTGCCTGTAGGACTAGTTAGATTTCTATACCTAACTGATTATGTTATTCCCTTCTTGAGCCAAATCTGATGAGAGTAAAGTTCAAACAATGCTCATCTTCCTCCCTTCTTTCCCTCTGCTTTAATAGGTTTTTGTGCCTTTTCCTGTAATGTAGTTTACCCTTGTCTTTCATCTCCTTTCTTTTTCTCTCAGTACATTTTTAGTTAAATCATATTAATCCACTTACTTGAATCCATTTAATCCACTTGATTAAATTTTTTTTATCATTACATGAAACTCAATTTATACCCACCCCCTTTATGTGTACCCCTTTAACATGATGTAATAACAATATAGCTTTTAAGAGTTACAAGTGTCATCTTCCCTTGTAGGGATGTAAATTATGTTTATTATTGTTATTAATGTTGTTAGTGTTATTAACAACATGTATTTTTCTCTCCTGTTTACCTTTTTATGTCTCTCTTGAGTCTTGTATTTGAAGATCAAATTTTCTGTTGAGTTCTGGTCTTTTTATTGGAAAGATTTGGAAGTCCCCCATTTCGTTGAATATCCATCTCTTCCCCTGAAAGATCGTGCTCATTTTCTCTGGGTAGTTGATCCTTGGTTGTAATCCAAGCTCCTTTGCCGTAAGGAATATTATATTCCATGCCCTATGGTCTTTTAATGTAGAAGCTGCAAGGTCCTGTGTCATCCTGACTGTGGTTCCATGATATTTAAATTGTTTCTGTCTGGCTACTTGCAGTATTTTCTCTTTGACCTGGTAATTTTGGAACTTGGCTGCTATATTCCTTGGCGTTTTCAGTTTGGGATCTCTTTCAGGAGGTGTTCGGTGGATTCTTTCTATGGCTATTTTCTCCTCTGGTCCTAGGACCTCAGAGCAGTTTTCCTTTATGATTTCCTGAAAGATACTGTCCAGGCTCTTTTTTTCATCATGATTTTCAGGTAGACCAATAATTTTTAAATTGTCTCTCCTGAATCAATTTTCTAGGTCAGTTCTTTTATCAATGAGGTGTTTTATGTTTTCATCTATTTTTTCATTCTTTTGTTTCTGTTTGACTGATTCTTGCTCTCTTATAGAGTCATTAGCTTCCATTGGCTCAATTCTAATTTTTTAACGAATTGTTTTCTTCTATTAGATTTTGTACCTCCTTCCCCATTTGTCCAATTGTATTTTTTAGGGACTTGTTTTCTTTGGTGTACTTTTTTTCCAGTTGGCCAATTGTATTTTTTTAGGGACTTGTTTTCTTTGGTGTACTTTTTTTCCAGTTGGCCAATTGTAATTTTTAAGGACTTGTTTTCTACAGTTAATTTTTGTCCTTCTTTTTCTAGGCTGTTGACTTTCTCTTGCATACCTCTCATTTTTTCTTCTGCCTCTCTTACTTGACTTTTAAAATCCTTCTTGAGCTCTTCTAAGAAGGCTTTTTGGGCTTCAGACCAGATCATATTACCTTTTGTGGTTCCAGATGTGGGTTTGTTGACAATGTTGTCCTCTTCAGAATTTCTGCCTTGTTCTTCGTTGTTCTCATAATATGAATCTGTGGTACGTTTCTTTTTGCTCATAGTGTTTGCTTATTTCCTGGCATTTAAAGAGATTGAACTCTCCTGCTGGGGAGCAGAGGGCAGTGACCCAAGCTTCTTGTGTTGGGAGCCTAGGGTCTGGTCCCTGGCTTTGTGTGCTGGGGCCTCCGCTGTTGGCAGTTGGAGACTATAGAGTTCTGTCAGCTTACCTGGTGTTGGGCTGGAATCAGCAAGGCTGGAACTCTAGGGCAACTCTAGGTTGCCTGCTTTTTCTTTCCTTTTGCTTTCTTCAGCTCCTTTCAGGTAAATGTTGTAGGGTCTTTATCCACCTGGGGCCCATTATAGTGCTGCTTCCCTTATTTTTGCTGTGGCACTGGGAGATTTGGCTGCTGCAGAATGCTGAGGCACCTGGTGTTTTTCTGAGCTGGTTTCTACTGGTTCCCCAGCTTTCACTGAGGCATTTGGGGGCCCAAGTGTTGGTGTTTACCTGCTCCACCACCTGGGTTTCAGGATCTCATCCTGGTATGCTAAGGTGGGGCTTTCTACTAGTTTGCTGGGACATCTCCAGTTCTGTATTGCTTCCCTTCCCGCAGGGCAAGAGGGGCCTTTCCCATTAATCCCTCAAGCTACCTGGGCTACAGGACTGCTGCACCCCATCTTTATTCTGGTCCAGCTGTTCCAGGGTTTTTCCTTGGGTGATATTTTCTGGGTTTTCAGAGGTTAATGTGGGAGGGTAAGAGCAACTTAACCTCTTACTCCACCATCTTGGCTCCAGGAAGCAGAACTCCCATAGTGTTCTTAGATACTGACTTTCTTGACCTACTTCACATACAGCCTTCATTTTCAGTATCCAGGTCTTTGCTGTAGCTGTCTTCATTCCTGGAACACTCTCCCTCCTCATCTCAGTCTTGGAGAATCCCTTACTTTCTTCATGACTTAGCTCAAATGCTGTCTTCTTCATAAAGCCTTTTCTGATCCCCCTGACGATGGCTAGGCTCTAAACTGGTGTGTGTATGTGTGTGTATGTGTGTGTATACTGGCTTTTTATTTGTTCTGTGTGTGTATGCATACACATAAATGCACACATATACATATGTACGTGTTGTCTCCCCTAATAGAATGTAAGCTGTTTGAGAGCAAGAATTATTTAATTTTTGTCTTTCTATCACCTGGGGTTTGGCATATGATGGATGCTTAATAAATGTGTATTGATTGCTAGAATCAGGATTCAACAGGATATTAATAAATTAGAAGAATTGGTCAAACCAAAAAGTGAAATATAACATGTATAGTCTAATGTTAGGTTTAAATAATGTTCATAGATATATGGTGGGGGAAACTTGGCTTAATAGGAGTTTTTCTGGAAAAGACGAAAGTTTTAATAGACTAAAATTTCCCTATGAGCTATTGGTATGCCTCTGTTACTTAAAAAAAAGAAAGCTAGTGTCCTACTTGGTCTGCTTTAATAGTACATTAAATAGTATATTAAAGGAGGTCAACGTTCTACACATTAGTCAGATCACTGGAATATAGTGTGCACTTGTGGTTGTCACATTTTAAGAGGGACATTGTATGTCCAGAAGAAGGCTCCCAGAGTGGTAAGAGGATTTGGAAAATGTTATTTGAAGACAGGTGAGGAAACTAGGGATGGTTAGATAAGGAGAAAAGAAGAGTAAGGAGTGACGTGATAGCTGTCTTTAGGTATTTGAGAGTGGCAAAAAAATTAGGTTTATTTTTTATTCTCACATTCCATGAAGAGAACACTGATTTTAGATGTCAGAAAACCTGACATCTGGCTACATTTTGCTATATTAAAAAGAAAAATCAAATATTATAATGAAACAGAAACTCCTTGAGGGTTTTTGTCATTGTATTCCCATTGCATAGTGCAGTAATTGGCATATAATAAATGCTGATTGAATTGAATAGTATTGAAGGATTTCCTGTTCTCTGTACCTCTCAGTCAGTTGTGTAAGTGTGAAAATGTGGTCTGCTGGAGAAAACCTTGGAAAGCTTATGTATTTCTGTCTCATAGTAATATGAAAACTGTAAGGAATGTCTGTGTCATTCATATAAGGATTTAATAAAGATGACTAAGGCTTCAGTAGTTACTTATGTGCTTTCAGTCAGTTTTAAAAATGTGAAATGCCCCCCCACACTCCCCATTGTAGAATTGTAGTCCACCTAGTTCCTTCATCTTATTTTATACATGAGAAAACAGGCTTGCCCAAAGTCACACAGGTGGTAAGTGTCTAAGACTGGATTTGAACTTAGGTCCTCATATTTCAAAGCCTTAGCTTTTTCTACTGTATCATGCCATCTCTGTAATGATTTGGTATCCTCTTTTAGATATCACAAAAATTGATCTCTCATTGCTTTCAAAATCATTACCTTCAGTTGAGATTTCTTGTCTTTCTATCCACTCTTTCCATCTTTTCATTTAGTGCTCTTTCCAATGCCTATTTCTGATGCAAACCAGGCACTGATATTGTTCAGTTGTAACCAGTGATGATGGTTTTGTTATGTAAAAGCTGACAAGTCTGTAACATTTTTTATCTATTTGTTGTTTTCCTTCCAGTTTCATCTATGAATGCTCTTGAAATGAGCTGGCCTACTTGGTTCTTAAATCAAGGTTTCTGAAGATTGATTTCCCTTTCCATTGCTGTTTGCTGTTTTATGAGGTAAAAACCCCATGAAACAAAGTAGGAAAACACTTATTTTGCCATTAGAATAATATAATTTTAGAAATGTAAAAGACTTTGAAGTCATCTATTGTAACCCTCTCATCTAAGACCACACTAAGACTCAAAGAAGTCAAATTATTTGCCCCAGATCCCACTTCTATTTTGTAACAGGATAGTTAAAGTGATTTTTTTTTTAGTTACTTTCTCACTTCCTCAGCCCGTGGCTATGAAAGGGATCAATGATAATCAAAATATAAGACTAGAGAAGAATAGAAAGCAAGAAATCAAGGTTACATATGGCACTGGCTAGAGCATCAGTTTCTGAATATCTACCACTGACTTTTTTTTTGCCTTTTAGTAAAATGTTTTATTTGTCTGAAGGAAAACAAACAAGCCACATTTAGAGGACTATCAGAGGAGTAGTAAAGAAAGAGGAAACCACTTTTTTGGCTACTTCAGCATCAGACAATTTTTTTGTTGTTGTCATCTCAAAGGGCAAAGAAAGTTCATTTGTGGAATTTGTGGTGAAATTCTCATAGAAATAATCCTCCATATATAGCAGAAGCTTCAGGCAGTTATTTCCAAATGTGGTTCCTATAGTAAGCCCTAGGTCTTTTTGTTTTGATTGCGTGTGGAGAGTAGGAAACAAATGCCCCCAATATGGGGAAAAGATGTAGCTGCTATGTCTACAGAAACTCAGGCTGTACTCATGCTACCTTGCGGAATTCTTTAATGTGTGTCCCAGAGCCCTGCATCTTGTACCAACTGATGGTTACCATCTAGACACCTGTTGATTCATTGTGGGCCACCCCTACTCCCAGCTCTTTTTCTGCAGCGGTCACCAGGTTGTTGGACTGTGCGCCATCTAAGGGAAATCACTTTAGCCCACACTATGTCACTTGGGCAGAAACTCATATATTTCAACCTTGTCTTTTTTCAGCAGCCTGACATCTTCCTTCCTGATAGTTCCACTAAAGTAGTTGTTGAGTGATGTGTATCTTGTATATGAGATAGATTCTTTGTAAAGGTGAGAACTAAAGTTGGAGACCTTATAGGTTAAGATCGTTCCCACATCTGGCAGCAGCTGGGCCTTGGTCTCTTTTGTCACTGGAAGCTTGCCATTGTTGCTCAGCTAAACCAGGAAGCCAGAGAGCAAGGAGAAGATGTAGTCGTGCCAGGTGTAGGTGTCGCTGCAGGGGTTGGCCTCCTTCAGGTTACACAGTTGCTTGGCTTGGGCGCCCTCATTGGCTTTTTAAAATTAGTTTTTATTTCTACCTTTTGTTTAACCTACATTTTCCAGTGTATCCTTTCTTCCCCATCCTAGAGAGCCTTCTCTTATAACAAGAATAAAGAAGAAAGGGGACAAAAACAGTTCAGCAAAAGTAACCAACATATCCAAAAAAGTCTTTTATGTTTTCTCATGCTTCTTCATAGTCTTCATTTCTTATAGCACAGTAATAACCCATTACATCTTTGGCTTTTAAGCCTTGCCTTTTTCGCTGTGGAACTTGATCATTATACTTAAGAGTAGTACAGCATAGTTTATATGGAATATTTGTTTTCTTTAAAATTAAGTAAAGCCTTTTGGCCCATGAGGATTAAATATATTATTATTATTCTGAAGACAACTGATTCAAAAAATAACTTTGAACTCATTTTTTTCCCCAGACCAATGATTTCACTGGTATAGGGAACTACCTCTACTAATATAGATCAATTATTACTTTTCAACTTATATTCTGAGAGTTGTTTGGGATACTGAATCATTAAGTGACTTGTCCTGAGTCACATGGCTAGTATGTGTCACACATTGGATTTGAACCCAGGTCTTCCTGACTTTGAGACTAAATATTTATCTATTCCTATACCTACTTCATTTACCTATGGACTCCATATCTTATTTAAAATGCTGTTATTAACCATTGGGAAAATAAAGTACAGTTTTACAGATAACATAATAGTTAGTTGGTATCTCATGTCACTAAGTACTTCCCATTGTGTTCCTAGGGACTTGTAAGTTAATTTACGTTCATTCTTGGTATGCAATCTAAGCACTCATTTGGGCAAATATGCAGAAGTAACACAATAGAATAGAGACACTGAATGAAGATTAAATATAGAGTAGTGGAGTTGTGTTCTGAAGACAGAACCAAGCTAGGTAAGTACATGGGGGGGGTGGGCAGAGGACATGTTCTTAGAAAGAAAGTGTTGTATATTATTAACAAAGCCCAATAGCAAAAGATAGAAAGAAAAATTTGATTTAAAGTTACTGTGGATATTATAAAATATTTGGGATTCTACCTGCCAAAACAAACCCAGGAACTATATGAACACAATTACAAAACACTTTTCACACAAAGTCAGATCTCAATAATTGGAAAAATATCAGTTGCTCATGGGTAGGCCAAGCCAATACAATAAAAATGACAATTCTACCTAAATTAATTTACTTACTCAGTGCCATACCAATCAAACTACCAAAAATTATTTTGTAGAGCTAGAAAAAACAATAACAATTCATCTGGAAGAACAAAAGGTCCAAAATATCAAAGGAATTAATGAAAAGAAATGCAAGGGAAGGTGGCCTTGCTGTACCTGATCTTAAATTGTACTGTAAAATGGCAATCATCAAAACTGCTTGGTACTGGCTAAGAAATAGAGTGGTGGAATAGGTTAGGTACACAAGACACAGTAGTCAATGACTATAGTAATCTACTGTTTGATAAATACAAAGACCCCAGCTTCTGGGATAAGAACTTACTATTTAACAAAAGCAGCTGGGAAAACTGGAAAACAGTATGGCAGAAGCTAGGCATAGACCACCTACTTTACACCCTACACTAAGATAAAGTCAAAATGGGTACATGATTTAGATATAAAAGCTGATAACTATAAGCAGACTAGGAGAGCAAGGAATGATGAACCTGTCAGATCTATAGTGAGCAGAAGACTTTATGACCAAACAAGAGATAGAGAACATTATGAAATGCAAAATGATTACATTAAATTGAAAAGTTTTTGCACAAACAGAGCCAATGCAACTAAGATTAGAAGGAAAGCAGAAAGCTGGGAAACAGTTTTTATAGCCAGTGTCTCTGAGGACTGATTTCTAAAATACATAGAGAAATTTATAGGATTACAAGTCATTCCCCAGTTGATAGATGATCAAATAATATGAACAGGCAGTTTCATATGAAGAAATTAAAGCCATCTATAGTCATATGAAAAAATGCTCTAAATCACTATTGATTAGAGAAATGCAAATCAAAACAGCGCTGAGGTGCCACATCTCACCTAACGGATTGGCTAACATGACAAAACAGGAAAATGATCAGTGTTGGAAAAGATATGGGAAAACTGGAACACTAATGCGTTATTGGTGGGGTTATGAACTGATCCAGCCATTCTGGAGAGCAACTTGGAACTATGCCCAAAGGGTTATAAAACTGTACATACCCTTTGACCCAGCAATACCATTTTTAGGTCTATATCCCAAAGGGATCATAAAAAAGGGAAAAGGACCCACATGTACAAAAGTACTTATAGCAGTTCTTTTTGTGGTGGCCAAGAATTGGAAATTGAGGGGATGCCTATCAGTTGGGGAATGGCTGAACGAGTTGTTGTGTATGAATGTAATGGAATACTATTGTGCTATAAGAAATGATGAGTAGGTGGACTTCAGAAAAACCTGGAAAGACCATCAGTATGGACTGATGCTGAGTGAAATGAGCAGAACTAGGAGAATATTGTACACAGTACACATTGTGCAATGACTAGTTTTCATAGACTGGCTCTTCTCAGCAGTGCAAGGATCTAAGACGACTCCAAAAAACTCCATGATGGAAAATGCTGTCCAAATCCAGAGAAAGAACTATGGAGTCTGAATGCAGATTGAAGCATACTATTTGCTCTCTTTTGTTTTTGTTGTTGTTGTTTTGTTTCTCTTTCTTGTGGTTCCTCAAATGGGTCCTAATTCTTCTTTACAACATGACTAATGTGAAAATATTTTTAATATGAATGTAGATGTAGAGCCTATATCAGACTGCATGCTTTCTTGGGGAGAGGGAAGGGATGGGGAGAAAATTTAAAACTCAAAATCTTTTGAAAGTGAATGCTGAAAACTAAAAATTAATTAATTTTTGAAAAGTGCTGGAGAAGCAGAAATCTTCTAGTTTCTTTATGGCAGGTTTCCTTGTTAGGTGACACTACTTGATGATAGAAATACAATTGGCAGGGACCAAGTAATGTATGTGATTGGGGAGGAGGGGAGTTGCTGAACCAAAATGATAAGTAACTTGCTTCCCAGCAAAGACTTATTTTTAGAATTTCATTATATGTCTTTTTGAAGTACTGAAAAACTGAGGAGGCAGGTATTAAGGAGGCAGTCTGCTGTCCTTGCTAGAAGACTGCTCGAAGATTTAACAATCTAGTTTCAAGTCCCACCTCTGACACATACTGGCTTGATAACCCTAAGCAGGTCACTTAGCTTCTTTGTGTCCCTAGACATTTTCTAAAATTATAAGTTACAGAGAAGGTACTGATCTGCATTGTAGAGGGAGTTTTCTCATCAAGAGTTCTCTACACTGAGGACAAAAAAAAAATTCTGAGATAACACTTGTACTTGTTACAGGTTTTTTTTGTACTATTTTAATTTCTTTCCTTTTTTCTCTTTTTCTTTCATTCTTTAATTTCTTCCTTCCTTTTTTTTTCTTTGAAGAAGGAAGTGGTATATTGCAGAAGGTCATATATTGGCCAGCAGGAACCATGAAATTTTGAATTTTCAAGATGAATGAGATCTTAGAGATGATCCAGTATAGCCTAATACCCTCATTTTGCAGAAAAGGAAACTGAAATCCAAAGAGGTTGAATTACCTAGTCAAACACCTGGTTTCTGGCAGCACCAAGACGAGAAGCCAGGTCTCCAAACTCCTAGCCAGGTATTCTTTCTACTACATTCACTGCTGTCCATGGTCCACCTCAAATCAGTGGTAATGCTCAAGTTAAGTAGTTGGTTTTCCAGTGTAGGGCTTGACATACTGTCTTCTGTAAGCCCTCAACCCATCCTTCTTTTGGCTAAGACAAGATTTTATCTTTAGATAAAACAAGTTTTAGAATTAAGTTCCTAGCCTGGGGCCCCTTAAAATGAGTCTTCAGGAGACTTCATAGCTCCTTTTTCACTGTCCTATGATAAAAGTCATAAGAACTTTCTAATCTGCTTTCTGGCTTTCTATGTTCTCATAAGGGCCCATGGCAGGCCACTAAGTAGCCAATGAGAATAAGCCCACTTTCAGCTTAGATAAATCTAAACCCCTTTCAGGGAATCATTTCAAATGGGGAGCTATCTCCAGTACTTCATTCCATAGCCTAAGCCATAAGGTAATTTTGCTAATTACAGGGCTTCTCTAGCCAGACTAGTCAGGACCATAGCAGATCTAAGACACTTCCCTGTGAGAATTTCTCTATTTAGGCTTAGGTGAATATAAGTATGTATTAGGTTTTGTGAAGCACAGAGAAAGTTGCTACTTAAAAGAATCACCAATGCTGGAATTCACATGCTCTTAGAACTTGAGGGATATAGGAGCAGATGCTTTGGTAAGCTCTCTTACATCTCTAAGAATTTGTGAATGTAGGACCTTACTGATTACTTAATACCCTCATTTTACCTAATCCTTTCTCCCCCACCATACCTAGTATAGAAGTAAAATTCTGCATCAGCAATTTGTTCTCCAGGCTATTGGCATTTAGCCTTCTTTTAAAATGCAGGTATTCCTGGAAAGAGAAATACAGTAAGTCTTTATTACCTCAGTGTGAATTAATTTGTTACTTGACTTCTTTGATAAGAAAAACAAGGGCAACATGAGAACATTGGAAAGCCTGGTTGGAAATTGGGATGCAGAGTGCTGAAAGGAAGGGGCAGGTCAGAAATGGTAGAGTGTGGGCACAGCCCTGCTAGATAGACTTCATTCATCAAACATTTTATTAAGTGGTAAGCCACTGCTTGATATAGTCTGTGAGACCCTGTGCTAAGTGCTGAGAATACAAAAATGGGTCTCGTGCCATGTTCTCAAGCAGTTTATAATCTATTGGGAATATAAGAACAAGTACATATATAACTAAGATGTTACGTAAAAATTGAAGGTTAAGTGCAAAGAAGAGGTCCAGACAGAATGTTATGTGAAAGATGAGCAAAAAATACCATTTATTTTTTTCTGGGGAGCTAATGAATACTAACAGCTGATAGTGCTTTTGGTTTTACAAAGCATTTCACATAAATTATCTCACTGGCACCTCATAACTGCCTTATGAGGTAGGTACTATAGGTATTATTGTAGCAAATGGGGGAACAGGCTCAGAGAGGTTAAGTGACTTGCCTACAGTCACACAGCTAGTAAGTGACAGGTGGAGTTCAAATCCAGGGCTTTCTGATTCCTGATCTAGCACCGCCTCAAGGCTTCATGGAGAAAGTAGCATCTGACATCAGTCTTCATCTACTTCATGGATTTGCCTAGAGCTGATCCCATACTGGCTGATCAGGTTGGCTCAAATTATAGAAGAACAGTCACAGAATATTTTAGCTTCAAAAGAAAAATTGGAGGTTATCCAATCCTAGTGCAAGTCCCTTAATTTACTACTGAGGAAACTGAGACTCGGTGAGGTGACTTGTCTAAGTTCACACAGCTAGTAAGTGACGTGACGTCACTAGGAATCTAGGTCTTTTGATTCCTAGTTCAGTGTTGTTGGGGTCCATGACACTCTCTGCTTATTCTCAGAGAAGACGTTTCTGAAGCAGCAGAAGCAGCACTGATGATATTCACCAGTGGCTCTGGGAGCTTTGTGGTGGAAATAATTTGGGGTAGGGGGAAAATAATTGAAGGACATCTCCCTTCTTAAGTGACTTTTAGTTCAGGAGAGTATGTTGAGTTTAGCTCCCTAGTGTGAAATTCATAGTTCATTCATTCAGTCATCATTTATAAACTAAGCTTTGCTGCCTAACATGGTGTTTGAAATGCTGTATTATATTTATTTGCACATGTGACATATCTCCCTTACTAGATTTTTAAGTGAAGGACCTGCCTTATTTATGTATTTCTCAGAGTGCCTTGCACATAGGCAGTCCATAAGTAATTGTCGAATGAATGATTGAAATTAAGATAGAAAACCTTACTTAAACAATTTGATTTAAGAATAGACAGTTAATATGCCTAAAGGGTTATAAAAGTGTGCCTGCCCTTTGACCCAGCAATACAACTGCTAGGTCTGTAACCCAAACACATCCAAAAAAGGGGGAAAGGACCTATTTATAGTAAAATATTTATAGCAGCTCTTTTTGTGATGGCTAAGAATTGGAAATCAAAGATGCCCATCAACTGGGGAAGGGCTAAACAAGCTGTGGTATATGATTGTAATGGAATTGTGCTGTAAGAAATGACAAGCAGGATGGTTTCAGAAGAACCTGGAAAGACTTATGTGAACTGATGCATAGTGAAATGAACAGAACCATAAGAACATTGTACACAGTAATAGCAATATTGTTCGGTGAAGAACTGTGAATGGTTTAGCTAGTCTCAGCAATACAGTGATCTAAGACAATCCCAAAGGACTAAGGATGAAGCATCTTCCTCCAGAGAAATAACTGATGTTGTTTGAATACAGACTGAAGCTATTTTTGCTATTTTTCATTTTATTTCATTTTTTTCTTTTGCTTGACGCTTCTTTACAAAATTAAATGTTTTACATAATTGCACACGTATAACCTTTATCATATTGATTGCCATGGGGAGGGGTGGAGATAGAATTTGGAACTCAAAACTTTAAATAAAAATGTTTAAAAAATTTTTAAAAAAAAGAATAGACATTTCATAGATCTAGAACTAGAAGGATTCTCAGAGGCCTTTAGCCCAACCCTTTCATTTTACAGATGAAGAAACTCAGGAACAAAGATGTTGAGTGATTCGCCCATGGGCAAACACAGGATTTGAATCCAGGTCTTCTTCCTTTGGTGGCAATGTTTTTTTCACAGTACTACATTATCATACTTAAGACTAGTAGCCATGGTGTATCATATACGTGTGTGGGCGTGGGTGTATGTTTAGTTAGAAGATTAGATGCCTAAGAATTGTTATTTTTTTCCCTACAAATTACACTTGAGTGGTATCTCTCCAGAAGACCAGCTTTTTACTACCAGGGTGTTGTACTAATAAGTGTTTGTATTGAATTGAACTGGAGTAGAGAGCACCCTGGGCTTAGTCATAAAACTTGGGTTCAAACTCTTCCCCTGCCTGCCCCCTTACTAGCCATGTGGCCTTGGGCAAACATCTTAACCTTTCTTCATTTATTTCCTCATCTGTAAGATGGGGCTATTAATACTTACACTATCTACTTCACAAGATTATTGTGAGGATCAAATGAAAGTAATTAGGAAATGCTCTGTATTTGTTGAGCTGTTGTTGATTGTATATTGATATGTGTTATACATTTAAGTAACTGCTGAAGGGAGAAGAAGTAAGGTAAGTGGACTAATGAAAGTTCTTAATATCTGGCCTGATTGTACTTAGAGATTTTTGCTAGACGTTCTCAAAGGCCACTGAAGCCTTTGGACCTTTGAGAGCTAAGAAGAACTTTAGAGATCATCCAGGCCAGTGCTTCTTAACCTGGGCTTCATGATCCGTTATTGTTTTTAATTTTTTTGATAGGCATCTTTCAAAATAATTGATTTCCTTTGTGGCAAACCTATATATTTTATGCTTTTAAAAACACTATTCTGGGTGTCCATAGACTTAAAAAAAAAAAGGTTCAGAATTCCTAATCTAAGAATTCCTGATCGCTTCATTTTATAGAAAAGGAAACAAAGGCTTTGAGAAATTAAGTGACTTCTCCAAGGCCACATGGATGGTGAGTAGCAGAACTGTAATTTGAACCCAGGGCGTCTGACTACAAATCCTGCGCTGTTTCGACTAGAACACATTATCCTTGAGATTCTCTGTCCCTATCAGTTCCTCCATGTTAGAAAAGGAACTTTTTAGCTGTTTTTTTCAGATTCCATGCCAAGATTTCATTCTGATTGATTATTGTTGAGGTTCATCACTGTTTCTCCACTTGCCCTTTCTCTGGGGTTGGTTCAGACTTGTTTCTGGAGCAACAGGAGCAGCATTAATGAAATTCATTTCAGTTCTAAACTGTTTTTTGCTACACTCAAGAAAGTTTTTGATGGTAGCAGAGGCACCATCATGTTATTCTCCTTCCCTGTGCTCCTGGTAAGCTTCAATGATATCAATATTTTCATGTTTCCCATTTCCCATTACATTTTTCTATTATTTCCGCATACTTCAGCCCCTAATTGCCACGTTGTATTACCTTGAGGACTTCAGTTAGATTTTTCTGATGAGCCAGGTGCATGTTTAAAAAAAATCCCAGGACTTTTTTTCCATAGTCTAAACCTTTATACTTTTCATTAAAAACCCAAAGCAGTAACTGCTGAACTTTTAAGAAATATTAAACTTTAGCTCATGTTTAGAGTGGTCACCGGGAAAAATCACATTTCTTTTTTTCATGGCCTTGAGACCACATGGGTGCAGCTAAAATTAATCAGTCAAGTCATCCCTCCCCCCTTTAAAATTACGAATACAAATGCTGGGGATACAAAAACAGGCAAAAGACAGTCTCTGGTTTCAAGGAGTTCACAATATAATGGAGGCGAAAACAAGCAAACAAATATGTACAAACAAGCTAAATTCAGAATAAGTAGACAATAATTAAGAGAGGGAAAGGCACTAAAATTGAGAGATTTGGAAAAGTTTACTGTAAGAAGGTGAGATTTGGTTGGGATTTAAAGGAAACTTGGGAAGGCAGTAGGCAGAGATGAGGAGGAAGAACATTGCAGACATAGGAGACAGCCAGAGAAAATGCCCAGAGTTGGAAGTATCTTGTTTGTGGAACAGCAGGGCAGCTAGTATCACTGGATTGAAGAGTACATGATGGAGAGTAAGATGTAAGAAGACTGGAAAGGTAAGAGGGGGCTAGGTTATGAAGGACTTTGAACACCAAATAGAGGATTTTGGATTTGATCTTGGAGGCTATAGGGAGCCACTGGAATTTAATGACTAGAGGGGTGACGTGGTTGAACCTTCACTTGAGGAAAATCACTTTTGTGACTGAAAGGAGTATGGATTGGAGTGGGGAGAGACTTGAGGCAGGGAGACCCACCAATAGGCTGTTAGAGTAATCCAGATATAAGGTAATGAGGAGCTACACCAGGGTGGTGACATTGTTAGAGGAGAGAAGATAGACATTTTAAAGGTGAAATGGACAGGTCTTGGCAACAGAATGGATATGAGGATGAGAAATAATGAGGAGTCAGCAGTGACACTCAGGTTTTGAGCCTGAGGGAGTGGAAGAATGGTATTGCCCTCTACATATTGCCCCTCTGCTGTAATAGGTAAGATAGGGGATAGGGGATAGCCTAGGGTTTTTGTTCATCGTGGCTGTTTGATACCTCTTTGGTGTTATAAGGTCTGCTTTTGAATCTCAGCTATGCCATTAACTACCTATGTGATCTTAGGCAAGTCACTTAAACTTTTTGGGCCTCAGTTTCTTCATCTGTAAAAGAAGGTACAGTACTAGATGACCTCTGAAATCCTTTCTGGCTCCAGATCTTCTGTGCCTAGATTACCTGTGAGGTCTCAGCCAGCTCCATTTCTCTGATTTTGTAATTATTAATGTAACACATGGTCTCATGCTTTCTGGCAATGAAACAGCCTCCTAGATTCTGTCCTTGGCCCACTTTACCTTCCTTTCTACATTTTCTCCCTTGATAATCTTATCTATTCCTGTAGTTTCAGTTATCACCTTTATTCAAGTGTCTTCTGCATCTTTATTCGCACCTGTAATATCCTCCAAGAGTTCCAGTTCCTTATTTCAGTCTCTCAGACATCTCCACTTTCCCACACAAACCTCAAACTCAACATGTCCCAAATTGAATTTATCATCCCCTAAGCCTTTTCCTCCACAAAAGCACTTGATCCTCACTATAATTTCTTTGCTCCTCTTTTAAGTCTCACAAGCTCAAAAGTAGTGAGAAAAACATGGGATTTGGAGTCAGGACCTGGATTAAAATTCCAGCTTTGCTACTTAGTGTGTGTGACCTTGGGCAAGTCACTTAAGTTCTCAGGTAGAATTTAAATGATAACTAAGGTCTCTTCCAGCTCAAAATCCCATGGCCTCAGAATCTTCTTTGATTCTTCTTTCTCCTTCACTCCCCATGTCTATTCATTTGTCAGGTCTTGTTGCTTCTATCTTGGATAATATTGGTAATTCCTTCCCTGTTCACATTGCAACCACCCTTAATGGCTGCTTCCCTATATTATGGTAATAATCTCTCTCCTAAGTCATGCCCGTGAGAGGTATCTAAACTGTTTCCCTTCTAGTGTTTTTTTTCAAACCTTGTAGCCTCTAATAATCCAAATTTTGAGCTCGTTATGGCATATTGTGTAAGATGTTATTCTAAACCTAACTTCTGCCAAATTGTTTCCAATCACTTTTCTAATCAACTTCTTGTCAGATGAAGAATTGTCTGCAAAGTAATTTGTACTCAGATTTATTCAACGTTAAGTTGAATTCAGTTTTTTCTGCTGCTTTTTTATATTTAGTCTGTTCCACTGATCTATGAGACTATATTTATTTATAGTTTGAGCTAAAATATTTTTGTTTGACTCTTTGCCACTGCAGATTAAAATGCCTGTCTTCATTCTTTTCCAGTAGATCATTTGAGAGAAATGATGAACATCAAGGCTTTCAGACTGGTCTCTGCCATCGAGCGGGAGCTCCTGATGGGCGACAAAGATCACATCAATATTGAATGCATTGAGTGCTGTGGAAAGAACCTTTATGTTGGTACCAATGAATGTTTCATCTACCACTTCCTGTTGGAGGAAAATATGTCACCAAATGGAAAGGTCACTTTCTCTGCCACAAAGCAGCGGCACAAATATCTGGGTTTCAAGAAGCCAGTGAATGAATTGAAAGCAGCATCAGCCCTCAATAGGCTCCTGGTGCTTTGTGACAATACCATTGCATTGGTTAACATGATGAATCTCGAACCCATCCCTTCAGGTGCTCGAATAAAAGGGGCAGTGACTTTTGCTTTAAATGAGAACCCTGTAAGTGGGGACCCCTTTTGTGTAGAGGTTTGCATCATTTCTGTCAAACGTAGGACCATTCAGATGTTTATGGTCTATGAAGACCGAGTCCAAATTGTAAAGGAAGTGTCAACCCCAGAGCAACCATTTGCTGTGGCTGTGGATGGCCACTTTTTATGCTTGGCACTCACTACACAGTACATCATATTGAATTATAACACAGGGGCCTCCCAGGATCTGTTCCCATATTGCAGTGAAGAGAGACAGCCAATCGTGAAGAGGATAGGGAGGCAAGAATTTCTACTGGCTGGGCCTGGAGGACTAGGTAAGAAAAATGTGATGGTATTTTCAGTAACCCTCACTTCCTATACCTACTTGTTTTGTATTTTGTTAGTTTTATTAACCATTGCTGAAATGTAGGGACGATGTCTGTAGTTTCTTTTGAAAAGAAAGTGTCAGAATTCTGTCCACAAAAGTGGCAATTTCTTTTCTTTTTGTTAAGGAGGGTTGTAACACTTGACAGTGGGATTGGTTTTAGTAAAATTAGTTTTACTTTTTGCTAATATATACCTTAAAAATTTGTATCTTTAAGGAAATCCATTCATTATCAAAATGGCAATAAAAGCCTATGTTTCGCCTTAAAGCCTTCTGTAGAAAACTGAAACCTCAATTCCAGGTCCATACTTCTTGTTTCTTTTCTAGCAACTTTTCTCTAAGTTTTTAGTAGTTAGTTTATTTTCAAAAAGGGAGGAGGTATGTTTGTGTGTGTTTTCCCCTTCTTACATATCCTCGCCATGTCCCTAAAGATAGAACAGAAGTTCTTGAGTTTTTTGGTCTCATTGACCTGTTTGGCAGTCTGGTGAAGCCTGTGGGCTCCTCACAATAATGTTTATAAATGCATAAAATAAAATACAAAGGATTTCAAAGGAAATCAATGATTTTGAATTGAGTTATCAAAATATTTTTAAATAAGTTTGGTTTGGTTTTTTTTTTGGCTAGGCAATGGGGTTAAGTGACTTGTCCAGGGTCACACAGCTAGTAAGTGTTATGTGTGAGGCTGGATTTGAACTCAGGTCCTCCTGAATCCAGGGCCAGTGCTCTATCCACTGCGCCACGTAGCTGCCCCTAAAATAAGTTTTAAAATAAGTTTTTTAAATAAGCTAAAAACCTCTGCTATAAAACTAATTTAATAGTGAAAATGAGTTTGATGTGAGTGTTGATAGCAGTTAATGTTGATGGGTTTATTTGAATAGCAAGATCAGCCAGTACTGAACTTCATGCTCTTTTTTATTTTTAACAGCCAGACTGTCCATTGGCTTTTTTCTTTTTCTTCTTCTTTTTTTAAAGGGGCTCCTGGGGTGCATTTGAGTAGGGGACTGACATAGCCAGACCTGCATTTAAGAAAAATGATTGAGGTTAGAATCAATGCCTACATTAGGCATTCTAAAAATAATTCTTAATATTTAATTAATTTTAATTGAATAAAATTGAATAAGATTAAAACTTTTTTTTAATTTTAATTTTTTTATTTTTAGGCAGTTGAGGTTAAGTGACTTGCTCAGGCACACAGCTAGTAAGCGTCAAGTGTTTGGTCGGAGACTGGATTTGAACTCAGGTCCTCTTGATTTCAGGGCTGGTGTTCTATCCACTGTGCCACTTAGCTGCCTCAAAAATAATTCTTAAACTTTCAAGCTTGGCACTGTCTCCTGCCTCTTTGCCTTTTCTCAGGCTCTCCCATGTCTTGGCATACACATCTTCCCCACCTCTGCCTCCCAGTGACTTGAGCTTCATTGAAGGCTCAGTTCAGGTGCTGTCTCCTATTTATTAGAAATCTTCTCTGATTCTCTCAGTTGTTAGTGTACACTCTGTCCTCAAATTATATTGCATTTTATTAATCTATTAAATTTGTAAAGCCCAACCCCAAGCAGAATGTCAACTCCTTGAGAGCAGTACCTCTTTTAAAATTTGTCCTTGTGCCCTAAGCATCTTGCACAGAACCTCCTTGCCTCCTCATACAGTGCCTTGCACAAATACTGGTTGAATTGAAATTAGAATGTTTGCATTAAGGGAAATAATAGTGATAGAGAGAATTGTGAATAGGGACATCCAAAGCCTGTTTCACCATTCCAGGGTTTTTGAGCAGCAACTTGGTGTCAGGCCAATGGGACAAAGACATTTTTCACAAGATGAAAAATGCAGAACATGAAACAGTGTATCTTCCTTCATTGCTTTTAAAATTTTTTTTAAATTTGTGCAATAAAACAAACATTTCCATAACATAGTACAATAAAAGAAGATGAAACTTCAAATCTGCTATGCATAACTTGCTATTCCTTTCAATTACACAACAAAATTATCATGTAATTTATTTATTTTATTTTATTTTAATTTTTTTTCCATATGCTTTTGAGTTGAAAATTTTTTCTCCCTTTTTCTCCCCCCCACCCTCCCCAAGATGGCGCACAATCTGTCATAGGCTTTATATTTACATACCCATTAAACATATTTTCACATTAGTGAAGTTGTAAGTAAAAATTAAAACCAATAGGAGGAACCATCAGAAAGATGAAACAAAACTCAACAGAAGGTAAAAATAAGTGAGAGCAATTCGGCTTCCATAGTTCTTTCTTTGGATGTGGACAGCATGTTCCACCCCGAGGCCTCTGGAGATGTCTTAGATCCTCATAATGCTGAGAAGGGTTCAGTTTAACATTCTTAGTCATTGCATGACGTGGCTGCTATTGTATACAAAGTCCTCTTGGTTCTGCTCACTTCACTCAGCATCAGACCATATAAGTCTTCCCAGGTTTTTCTGAAGTCAGCCTGTTCATCATTTCTTATAGAACAATAGTATTCCATTACATTCATATACCACAACTTGCTCGGCCTTGTGTAATTTTTTTTACTCCCCTCTCCCCCCACTTCCCTAAAGATGGCTACTGTTAGACATAAATAGGTATATGTATGTAAAATTATACTATATGTCTATTTATCAGTTCTTTCTCTGGATGCAGATAGCATCTTTCTTCATATGTCCTTTGTAGTTAATTTGGGTATTTACAATATTCAAAATCACTTATTCGCTCAAAGTTGTTCTTAAAAAAATTTTGCTGTTGCTGTATACAATATTCTTTTGTTCTGCTCATTTCGCTCTTTATTTCATGTAAGTCCTTCCATGTTTTTGTAAAATCGTTGAGTTCATTTCTTATAGCACAGTAGTGCTCCATCACAGCTGTCTATACCACAACTTGTTCAGCCATTTTCCAATTGATGGGTAGTTCTTTACTACCACAAAGAGAGCTGCTATAAACATGTTAGAACATATAGGTTCTTCTCCTTTTTCCCTAATTATCTTTGGAAATAAACCAGGTAGTTGTATTGCTGGGTCAAAGGGTATACCTTTAGTTTAATAACTTTGGGCATATTTCCAGATTGTTTTCCAAAATGGTTGGATCATTTCACAATTCCACCAACAATGAATTAGTGTCCCAATTTTTCCACATCCACTCCAACATTTGTCACTTTCCCCTTCTATCATTTTAAGCAATCTGGTAGGTGTAAAATACTATCTCAAAGTTGTTTTAATTTGTATTTCTCTAATCAGTGATTTAGAGCATTTTTTCATATGACTATAAATTGTTTTGATTTCTTCATCAGAAAACTGCCTGTTTATATCTTTTGAGTATTTATCAATTGGGGAATGACTTGTTTTCTTATAGATTTAACAAAGTTCTTTATATATTTTCAATATGAGACTTTTGTCTGTTAAACTGTCTATAACATCCTCCACCCCCAATTTTCTGCTTTCCTTCTGATCTTGGCTACATTTGTTTTATTTGTTCAAAACCTTTATAATTTCATATAATTGAAATTATCTATTTTACATCTAACTTTGCTCTCTATTTCTTGTTTATCCATAAATTGTTCACCTGTCTCTAAGTATAAGTAATATGTTCCATATTCTTCTAATTTTCTTGTAAAATCTCTCTTTATATCTAGGTCACGTATCCATTTTAACCTTATATTAGTAAATAATCAAAGATATGGGTCTATGCCCAGTTATTTCTTCTTGCTGTTTTCCTTCTCAGCCTCTCCTTTCACCCTGTCCCTGTTACCATGTCTTCTCCCCCTTACCCTCTTATTCCGTCCCTTATCTATTATTGTCTTATCTATTCACCCACTCTCCTAATCTTAATGTATGTACCCTTCTAAAAGTTCCTCCCTTATCCTGTCACCTAATTTTCTCACCTCTCTAGAAGTTTAGAAGACTTCTAAACCTCTTCAGATGTATACTTTGTTTCCTCTTCAACTCAGATGAGAGTAAGGTTCCAATATTGGGACATAATATAATTAAGTTTCTTTCTTTGTTTTTAAGCAAATTAATCAACAAAACTTTAGCCCAGTCTCCAGCTCTGCCATTAGGAATCCTCTGCCTTAATTTTAGTAATTGTATATATACACATATAATTAAAGAATTTAATTTTTCTTTAAAAAGAATTAAATAATTTTTTCAAGTGAATTTGCAAATTGTTATACTCATTTATTCTCCCTCAAACTGTATAGCCTATACTTCTGCCTGGGCAAGAAAATCAACCAAGGTTCTTTATACTATTGTGGGTATGTTTGGAAGTGACTGGGTTGAGATCCTTTTATATTTGCAGAGGTGCAGATCTTATCAAAATACAGCATTGTCACCATGTAGCTTCTCTTTTCATAAACTAATTGTTCAAATTTGTGAGAGGCAATGCAGTGTATGTACATGAACTGGCCTTGCAGTCAAGAAGACCAGGGTTCAGGTCCCATCTCTGATACTTAACTAGTTGTGTGATCACGGACAGAGCGCTGAACCTTCCAGCATTCCGCACCTCTCTAAGACTAAATTACAGAGTTAGAATGAATTTCCACCATCAGGTATTTGTTACACATGTGAAATCATAGGTCACACAGTCACTACCTTCCCTCATTGCTTCCCCCTAGCAATAAATCAATTCCTAATATGCCCATGAAAACATTTTGAAAAGTATCATTTACTCTGTATCTTTGTTCTGTTACTTACTGTTTGTGGGACCCTGAGCAAGCCAAATAATTGCTGAGTTATGTATAAAATAGGGTAATAACATTAACTTACAGGATTTTGTGAGGGAAATGCTTCACAAACTCCAGATCATTATGCCAATGGGAGCAATTTATTATCACTATATTTTGTTGTCACTGCCTCTCCATTTCATCACTTGTTTTGGCTTCCTGTCTGTCTCAAGCAAAACTTTTCTTAACCCTTTTCCCAAGTCACAAAACTTTACTTTTTGCTCCGTACTGTTCTGGATCTAACATTACTCTTTTTTTTTTCTTAGCTGTATCACATTGGTACTTTCTCAACCTGACCTCTTCTTTATTAATGTTTGAGGAGGCAGTCTTGCTTTTCTTTCCCATAGTCAACCTCTGTGATTCTCAAACAAGCAGCTAGGTCAGCAGTCTCCTCTCAGTACAGACAGTAAAGTGCTTCTCTTAGTCTGGCAAAAGCTCGGTGCACTTTTCATTTTGTCTTTCTGCAAGCTTTGCTTTTGACCTCTGACTTCCACCCTTCCTCTCATTCTCTGTATAGAAACACTATAATACGACTGGTATCAGCTGAGAAGGATTACTGTACTATCAGCTTTCTGTGTTTGTCATGAGAATGTGCTCTGCATAACATCCTGATTGTCTTGGGGGGCAGATGTAGCTGACTTGAAGTAGAACCAAATCCAGATTTGACTCTGTCTGTTTCTTCACCATTTTCCTCTTAGCCTGACATTTGGGTGAAAGTTTTGCTCCTGAATTGTCTTTGTTTCCTGCTTTCCCCATTTGGCTGTTTCATTAACTCAGAATTTAGTTCTATATTTATTAAGCTTTTGTGTACAGAGCACTATTGGGGAGTTTAGGTCAAATGTAGTTTTGAAGTTTCTAGAATGGTAGGCCCAGCAGGCGGATACCCAGATAATTATCATGCAAAATAGAAGGTGGTAGCTGGAAAACAAAGTGTTAAGGGAAGTCTGAAAGGGGTCACATGAATTACAAGCTGAAGAGGTCTAGGAAGTTTGCTGAAAGTGGCAACATTTGAGTTGGACTATAAAGGGTGGGTTAAATAACAAAGAGGAGAAGGGACGTGCCAAGTACAAGAAATTACCTGAGTCAGAGACATTTAGGTTGGAAAGTCCAAGAAATGTTCAGGGCACACAGTTCTTTGATTGGATCCTAGAGTATAACTAAGGGAGTTAATGAAGTAGCACCTGAAAAGGCAGAGTAGCAACAGATTGTAGAAGGCTTTGTATGGCCAGCTGTCCTCAGGAGAGAGAAAGGATGAGTGAAGCAACATGGATACCTGACCAGATCTGTGAAGAAGGAAGCCAATTTTTGGCTGTAATGTGAAGGGTAATGTGGAGTACAGAAGAGAAGGGAAGAATCAAAGACTAGTTAAGATACTATTGCAGAAGACCAGGAAGGTGGTAATGAAGGTCTGTACTAGAGTAGTGGTATAAAAAGGTATGAAAAGGAAGTGATGGATGGAGAGAGATCATAGAAGTGGGACTGACACAAAGTGGTCATCCAGTCAGTTAGGGTGGGGGAAGACTGTGATAGTGTGCAACGTGGAGCATTGAGTGAACAGTGGCACCACTGACAAATCAGAAAGAGGAGCAAGTTTGGAGAGTATAATAATCTCAGTTTTGGACAATATGTGATAAAGAAATTAATTATAGGATGCACACAATGCTGAAAAAGAACAGTTGAGAGAGAATAATATGTAGGGTCAATAAAATCTTAGTCCATAGGAGCAAACTATATGCATTAATTAAAAATATTTGGGACAAAGTCTTTAAAATGTGAAAGATTAATCTACTTAAATTGGACGAGAGCACCTTCCCTGCTCTTAGTCACAATCACTACCTCTCAGAAGTGAATATAGAATGTAGATCCTGGGGAAAAGATATACGTAATCCCTTCACAAAATTAAGCTTTATAATTCTTTGGACTGTTTGCCTTCTCTCCTTTCTTTCAGTCTAGCCCCAGTTTCCAAAAACCGAACAATAAATGTATTGTGTAGTCAAACATATCTGTGTAAAAACAGTACTAACAGTATTAATCTTTGTTCCAGTTAATTTTATCTCTCTTTTTTTTATAGGCATGTTTGCCACAGTAGATGGGATATCCCAGCGCGCCCCTGTGCATTGGTCAGAGAATGTGATTGGTGCAGCCATTTGCTTTCCATATGTAATAGCTCTAGATGATGAATTCATTACAGTGCATAGCATGTTGGATCAACAACAAAAACAGACTTTGCCTTTTAAAGAAGGTCATATTTTACAGGACTTTGAAGGTACTGGCAAATAATTAGCAACTGCTATTAAAAAAAAATCTAATCTTTTTGAATGGTATAAATTATCTTTCAGTTAGCAATGCAGGCTTTATATTTCTTTAGTCAACAGAGTATGTTTGGAAGCTCTCGGTAGTAGCAGCTAGAACTAGATTGTGATCCTGCCTGTACCACTTACAGTAAGTAGGTAAAGCCTTAGGCCTCTCCGTGTTTCAATTTCCCCATCAGTAATGTGAGAAGGATTTTGCTTACCTGGCTAATTGGCTCAAGATTTTTGAAAAAGATAACAGTGTAAAGATTTTATAGCTTTTCAGAAAGAAGGCTGTGTATAAAATGCTTTGTACAATATTGTGGTTCTGAATGTTGTACTCTAGTTTTTGGAGGAGTCGGTTCAGAAAAACATGTTCTGAATCTCAAAAGGTCCTTTTTGTTTCTTTTTAATTTAAGAAAAGAATCAATTCTAAATGATGGACCATTTTTGTTTTACCAATAGCACTTTTTAATTGACTTCCAAAGTAAGAGCCCTTGCTCTAGTTCATGTATTTACTCTAAATTTAGAGGCAACTTCTGGTTAAAAAGAGGGGAGGGGGAGAAAAGCATTTTAAATTTCAGTGTCTAAGGATTATATCCTCCACTAAAGTCTTGAGTATGATGCCTCCTTAGGTTATGGTTAACCTTTGGTATTGGAATACTGTGTCACAGGAGCACAAGCTTTGGCAGTTCCTGCCCAGCTGGCCCTTAGGCCCAGCACGAAAAGGTTTGTCACCAGATAAATGACTTGGTATTTTTGAGGGCAGCAATTTATGAAACCGTGAACTAAAACATGGAGGAGTTTCATTGTAGGTCAGGGAAGAGAGTGCCTACATTAGTGAAATCGTGAATCTTTTGAAAGATTGAATTAATAATTATACCTAGCAAACAATGTATTAAGCTTGATGGGAGGTGGAGGTTGGGGAGGGGGTGGAGGAGTAGTGTTATTAATGTCATTGAGATAATGGGGAAAATTATTATAAAAATTTTTTTGTGCAAGGCATCATGCTAGGTGCTTTTGAGAATACAAAGCTTTTGAGGCTACAAAGAAATATGACACAAGGGTTTAGGATCTAGATGGAAAGAGAAACTAGCATATAGGAATTGTACATGGCCAGGTAGTGGCATGTTGTACTAGAAAGAGCAGAGAGCTTGACCTGGCGTCATAGAGAACTGAGATAAAATCCTGCCTCTGATACTGTGGCAATAAGCAACTCAACTTCTGGAACATTTTTCTCACTTGTGTAATATATAGACCATAAAACTCATACCTATGGCTATTGAAGGCCAAATGAGATAATGTAGGTAAATTGCTTTGCAAACGATAATGACATAATGTGAGGTATTATTGTCTTGGTAAGTGATACAGGCAGTACATAAACACTGTAGTGGTCCAGAGTAGGGAGAAATCATATTGGACTAGGGTAATTATTCATTAATTATATTATCAAAAGTATCAAATTATCAAAGTCAGATTATCAAATTTAAATTGAATGGAGTGTTTGACAGAATGGAGTGTTTTTAGGTATTTTAAAATTACACATTTAAATTAGACAAATCATATCCCAGCATGAGGAGGACGGGATCATCATGTCTTTTTCTCTCTCTTTCCTGGATGCTCTCTCTCAGTGCTTTGCACAAAGTATAAGTTTAGTAAGTATTTGGATTGAATTAAAAGTTGTTTGAAATGCATCATGTATCAAAAACCTGGTTTATAAAATATGATATTTGTGATCTTATACAACCACCTTATATTTCTGCACAGGAAGAGTGATTGTAGCTACCAGTAAAGGAGTATATATCTTGGTTCCATTACCCCTTGAAAGACAAATTCAAGATCTCCTTGCAAGTCGAAGAGTGGAAGAAGCTTTAGTTTTAGCAAAAGGAGCACGAAGGAACATTCCAAAAGAAAAATTTCAGGTCTGTAGTTTCTGATCATGTCAGAAATTGATCTTCCAAATAATAATGAAACCGAGTTGAAAAGCATTCCAATCATTCTTATTCATGGGACGCACAGAACTGAATCAAGGGCACAATTCATATTTGTGATCATTGGAACCAAGTTGGGCTGAAGTTACCTTTGAAAGTCTATAGGAAAAAAGTTTACTAAGCAAATGAATAAGCTAAATGGGCTGAGTTAGTTATTTTTAAAGGGCCGGTGGAATCTCCAATCTGTTTAAGAGAACAGACGTTTTAAAGCCTTAAGGACACACTCGAATATGATAGCTAATATGTTCATTAGGAATCGTTTTTCTCTCTTTGTTAAATTAGACCCTTAAGAACTACATCTTGCTAGTACTTTGTTAGCTTAGAACAAATTATTCTGTGTTTGACAGTAACAAAACTACATGCAAAGATACATCTATATATCATTATATATTTATGTGTATATAATATATTTATATAATATAGTTATATAAAAAGATAAATATGTTACATTAATATATTAATAGACCGTCCACGTATATTTGTGTATGCATACACACACACACACACACAGCCTTGTTGGGGGAGTGCAAGGGCAGTGTTATGAATGCCATTGATGATGATGGGGAAAATGATGAAATCCATCAATAAATATTATTTTTGTGTAAGGCATCATGCCACGTGCTTTTGAGTATGCAAAGAAGTATAAGACCCAAGGGCTTAGGATCTAGATGGAGAGAGAAAGTATATATATGCCTGAAAAGAAATCTAGCATGTAGGAGTTATCCATGGCCAAGTAGTAGCATGCTATACTAGAAAGAGCAGAGAGAGCTTGACCTGATGTCATAGAGAACTGAGGTGGAATTATGTATATGTATATTGTGTGTGTGTGTATGATTATATATTATTATGTATATAAAATATAATTACATATATTTTATATATGTGTATAAAATAACTAAGATTTCCTGCTACTGTTTAATGGGCATAATAAATAAGGAGTCATTGATGTGGAATCGGGGAGAAATAAAGCACATGGGGTTGTGTACCAGACAGTATGGAGAATTAAAGTGAAGGAAAAATAAAAGAAGAGAAAAATAAGTAAAAGAAATTGTTTGTTTTTTTTTAAGGTTGAAAAACTCTACTTTTCTCATTCTCATTCTAAGATATGGGAAAGTAGAAGAAAAGGAATTATTTTCCATTTTAAAGTAATGATTTTTCTATTTCAGATTTAGATTTAAAGCACTAGAATCTGTTTAAGCTGTCTTAAGCAAGACTCATGTTAAAATTGTTCAAAAGCCTCTTCTTTGCCCAAACTTTAAGTGCGTAACATTTTTTCAAGGCTACAATTAGGTTTTTTTCCATGCACTTTTTCTGTGTATCCTCTCCTGCTGATATTTAGAGATAGAGCTGTAATGAGAGTGTGGCAGACTAGGCTTTATCCCATGGTGCCTAATTTTTAAGTTCCCAGATAATCCCGTAGGCCTTGAGGAATGCCTTGGGGTGGGGGTAGGGAGGCAGCAGCAGTAGGAAAGAACTACATGTGTCTGACAATGCACCCTTCTGCTATCATCTCCCAACTCACCCTACTACATGTGGTGGAGGTAAAACTATTCATTCAGCATGCATCCCTATTTATGTTTACAGGTAAGCTGCCGTCCTTCCACCTTCAACAGTTGGTAAAGGGTTCTGGACTTTTGCCACCACCCTCTTAATGAAGAAAGGAAGATGAGTGGCCAGGACCATGCCTGCCTGAAACAGGAATAGTAGTGATCTAGGGAAGAGGAAAGTAGTTGGACAAGGGTATCCACTCAAACACCCCTTTAGTGGCACCTATTTTGATGTCTAGATGACTATCCCTTAGAGACCAAGAGTTCAAACAAATGGTCCTTTTACTAAAATCGTTATTATTATCTCTTCAGATTACTTCCAGATCTAGGTATCCAGCCATAATTTCTCTCCTGTGTTCTCATTTACTGCCTCTGTATGTCATCTCCACCTCAGTATACCATAGCATCTCAGATTCAGCATGTTCAAAATTGAACTCCTTATCTTCCAGCCTAAACCTGCTCCTCTAACAAAGTTCCATCTCTCTATTGAGGGTACCACCATCTCTGTGGTAACTTAAGTCCATGAGCTCAGCATCATCTTCCACTTTTCCCTTTTTCCACATCTTCCAAATCGGTTGCCATATCTTGTTGATTCTGCTTCCTAATTGGAGGCAAAATCTCTTCTTCCAAACTCTCCCTCTCAAATCCATCTTCCACACAGCTGCCAAAATAATATTCCTAAACTATATCTTGCCTTTAATTCCCCTGCCTGAGAAGCTTCAGTGATTTCCTGTTACCTATATAATAAAATACAAACTCTTTAGCATAACCCTTCAAGGCCTTTATGATTGCACTCTGGTTTACATTTCTAGGTTTATTAGATGTTACTTGTCTTCACAAACTTTCTACATGCCCTAAACCAGCCTATTACTGTTCTCTGAACTTGGCATTCCAGCTGTTTCCTGTGCCTGGAATGCACTCCCCTCTTAACCTCTGCCCCCTTAGAATCCCTAGTTTCCTTTAAGGCTCAACTTATGTTTCACCTTCTACAGGAAGCCTTTCTTGATTTTTAGTGTTATCTTCCTCTTAAAATATTGATACACTTATCTGTTTGTGTATGTCTCTCTGTAGTAGAATTCGAGCTCCTTAAGGGAAGAGATGATTTTGGCTAGCTCAGTGCCTTACACACATTGTGCGTCTAATAAATGCTTGCTGCATTGTATTGGAAGATACAAGATCCCTAGGGGTTGAGCTCCTCCCCAGATCTTTTTGCCAGTGGCTTGAGGTCTCTCTCTACACTCCACCACATTTTTAAAAAAGTGATTATTGTGGCCCAAGTGCAAAAATTCCTAGTTACAGCTCTCATTTAAGGCTTTCAGTAACACTGGTGGTTTGATTCTGATACCTTAAACTATTATACTTTTTTTGATGTGATAACCAAGTTCAACTTAAATCTATGAATGGATATTTTGAACAAAACAGTAAAAGACCAGATTAGGTAGAAATAAAAGGCTTGCTGGGATCAATTCAATTCATCCAACATTTGTTAAAGTGTCTGCTTTGTCAGAGCATAAAGATGATGAGGTGATACCAAATTTAGCTGAGAGACAGCCCCTTCCCCCATTGAATTTACTGAGGAGGGATAAAATACAAATATAGTAATCAGCAAGCATTTATTGAGTGCTTACTGTGTTCGTTCCAAGTGTTGTGTCAGGCACTGTGATTACAGAGACAGACGTGATGTTACTGCCCTCAAAAAGTTTACATTCTGTCAGGAAAGACAACATGTACATCTACAGGTCTAGGGAAAACATACAAAATATTAGAGAAAAGCAAAACAAAGTGCTGCTTGAAGGAGCAGAATGCTAGAATAAGATGTGTGTGTGCATAAATATATGAAGTACAAAAAAAGAGAAAAAATAGCAACAAATTAGAAGGTAAAATTAAACTTCCCTTAGTCATTTGTGCATTCCTTTATTCTAAAGTATTATTTAACTTGACTTTTGAGATGTTCGTAACAATACTTAAAAGGAGGATGAATGTCAATGATAATGTGTTGTTAGGAATGTTGACACTAATGGAGCGCATCCTCGGGGTAGGTAAATATTGTTACTTTACTCATAAAGTGGCAATTTGTGATTCTTAAAAATAACAGTGTATCTCAGGCAAATCTTAGGAAAAACTTTTATGAATACTTAATGGCACAATTTTGTTACAAATCACTTCTGTGTGCCTCACCTACCAAATGAGCGGGAAGGACCAAATCTTAAAAGGTCCTTTCAAGCTTAGAAACTCTCTGAATAAGAACTTCCTCTCTTTCTTTAATATCAGGAAGAGTGAGAAGAGGGAAAGATAGGCCAGAGAAAACAGGAAGCAGTCAAGGAGGTTAATAGACTGGTGTCCACTACTACCTGTTTTCCCTTTCCTTTCTCATCAGCTTTTTCCTGTCTTTGCTTTGTTCACTACAGAAATAGGGGTGGTACAGCAAGAAATCAGAACATGAAACCATGGTCTCAGAGTGTTTAGTAGAGGCTTAGAGGGTTGCTTAGAGCTCCTAAGAAGCCAAAACAGAAGGAAAAACCCAAGATGTTGGGGAAAAGAGCAGGGTCTGTTCCCCATTAAGTGTAACACAAAATTTTAAAATAAAGTATTATTATATCAAGCTTCAGGAGTCAGAGGATCTAAAGTTTAAAAGTTTAAAAACCCATTCTGTCCTTTAGTGCCTTTGTAAACTGTGGGTAGTCCCTTCATCTCCCTGGGCCTTAAAGTGAGGGTTTTGAACTAGATGGCTCAAAGGTCCCTTCTAGCTCTAACTCTGTGAATCTGTGATTTTCATTTTGGCTCTTGAAATGTTTTTGTTTCTGTGTCCATTTGTTCTGAAGGAATTTGACTAGGAGTTTCTGTTTTTCTCCTTTTAAAAATTGTCCATTCTTTCTGTTCAGCGAGCTCTACATATCTATATATATGTCTGTTATAAGGACAAACAATTCTGTGTAGTAACTGAGCTGCAGAAGGTTTTTAAAAATAAAATAAGAAAAACTTTTCTGATACAGAAAGTAAGTTGAAAGGTCATGGGACTCAATGCCAGAAGGAACCTTAGAGATCATCTTGCCTAATCTCATTTTAGGAAATAAAGCAAAACTACCCTCCCCTCTCCCCCCCCCCCCTTAAAGTCACATTGTAGAGCAGGAGTTCATAGGATCAGGGACCTCAGAAGTCACCTTGTCACTAGATCATAGCTCTAGAACCGAAAGGGATCTCAGAGGCCAGGCCTAGGCCAAATGAGGAAACTGAGGCCCAGCAAAGTGAAGTCATTTGCCCAGAATCACACAGGCAGTAAGTACCAGAGGTAGGGTTTGATTCAAAATCCAGTGTTCTTTATATGATGCCAGATCATTTCAAAACAACATACACAGAATCAGAATTGGGAGGGCTCTCAGGGAC